CTGGAGCCCTCACCGGCCCCTTTCCTGGCAGGCGCCACAGCTCACAGTGGCATTCCTCTCTTCTCTGCTCTGCGGTGTGTTTGGGTTCTCCCTGCCTCTGCCTTCAGGAGCGTGCGGGGGTGGCCACTGCTGTGTCCACCCCCTGTGCCCGAGCTCCTTTGGCTGGCCGTCCTGCCCCAGTTTATTCTAGGCGAATGGTTCTTGCCTTCTTCAGTCCACGAGGGCAGAGGACACCATGGGCTTCCCCCCAGCTGGCCTCCGAGCTAGGTCCGGGCAGTCAGTGGACTCTCCCTCTCCACCCCCTCTGCTCCCACGGGTCAGAGGGGTTCTGGGGTAGCCAGCGGAACTCGGTGTCCAGACCTGACTGATTCACTGGAAGGACACCTCTCTTTCCAGTGGACCTGTTTCTGCTGGGAAATGAGCTGAGTTCTGCCTGTGTGCGAGCCCAGTGCCGAGGGAAAGGAGCCGAGAGAGAGGGAGAGAAGAGGATCTGGGAGACGGGAGTTGAGACACTGGATCCAGCCATGCCTGAAGCTGTGACTCTTAGCTCAGGTTTTCCAAACCTCAGGACCGTTGACAGTTTGGGTGAGTCTTTGTGGTGGGGGCTGTTCTGAATACCAATAGCACCACACAGCCCCCTCCACCCATGCCAACGAAGAAAGTCTCCCGCTGTTGCCAAATGTCCCCGAGGGCCACGCTGCCTCTGTTCACACACTCTTCAGGCTGCGGATGAGTCGTGGGGTCCGTGAAGGTTCCCGTTGCCCATTGCTCCTCAAGGTGGGGTTCTCTTCTTGTCTCCGGGAGGCTTTCTGTCCAAAGAAGAGCTACACCTCTAAGACGGAGCAGCTCTGAATCACCTGGTGTCCTGACTAGAGAAGAAGTCTGCACCTTAGCCAGGTCCCGGGAGAAGGGCACGGGGTGGGGGTGACCGGAAGGGACAGGGTGGGGGTCAGGAGGGGAGAGGGTGCGAGTGGGCTGCTGGGTGTGAGGAGGGTTCCAGAGGACAGCAGGGGCCCTGCAGGCCTCAGTGCGTGCGTGTGCGTGTGTGTGTGTGTGTATGTGTGCGCACACACGCGTGTGCCTGTGAGCACAGAGCAGTATGGAACGGCAGGGTGCTGGATGTGCGGGGCTGGCCGACGGCCAAGTCAACACCAAGACACGGCAGGTTTCGCAATTTAGGTCGCTGCTTCCCAACTTCCAAACCTGTTGACCCCTCTCACCCCGAGGGGTAGACAGTCCATGGCCCTGGAAGGTGTCCAGGTCCTCATGCCCCAGATCTGTGGAACTGTCACCTCGTGTGTGAAAAGGGCTGTGTAGACATGACTGGGTGACCGGCCCGAGATGGGGAGGTGACTCCGGACAACCCGGGGGGCCCAAAGATCACGGGGGTCCTGGCACGGGGCAGGCGGGAGGACCCGCGTCACAGGTGACCTGACAGCGGAAGCCGTGGGGGGGGTTGTGGTGCCACTGCTGGCTGGAAGGTGGAGGAAGGGACAGGAACAGCCAGGGGACAAGTGCCCTCAGCTCTGGAGGGTCGCAGCCCTGCGGCCTCCAGGTGTCACGTTGCATCTTGAAAGCCACAGGTTTGCAGCAGGGGGTAACTGACGCAGCAGCGGCCCCCTCTGCCCTGCCGTTTGTATACCAGTGCTTCTGTTAGCACGACTCCATTGTCTCCACTCCACCCACCCACAGGGAGCTGGCGCTGAGCCTCCCGGGACTCCCATGGCTGTTTACAAACAAGTTGGCCAGGGGACCCGCCATGCAAGAGGGGCCAGGGGCCAGGGAGCCATGGAGGGAGATGCCCGGACACCTGCTCATGCCAGGACACCTTCTGCCCTCCATCTTCCGAGAGGATCCAAAGTCACCTGCTGAGACTGATGAGCCACAGGCCAAGCACTGCGCACAGGGCCCCCAGGACAAGAGCAGGATGGCCTGGTGCCCCGGCCACACCGTCCCTGCGTCCGCATGGAAGGAGGGTGAGACTGGCTGGGTGATTCAAAGGCTGTTTTGCGACTATAAAAACCAGCCCCCAACAAACACCTGTAGGCCACCAGTCTCCTGGGAAAAATGGGGGTGGGCCAAGGGACATTCCCAGACATCGTCCTCTCGCCCCTGGCCCCATGGACACCCGGACTCGCACCCAAGGATGACACTGGGCTCCTGGAGGTTTCTCTGGTGTGCAACTAGCCCCACAGAGGGGGGAGGGGACAGGAGGGCAGTGGGACAGGACACTGGGACAGCCGTTCTTTTGCCACCATTCTGATGTCATGAGGGAGCAGGGAGCCGGGGCCCTGCAACCCACCTTCTCTGGAGAGGGCAGGGTGGAGAGTCCTGAAGGCCTGTCCTCAGGAGGGACACCCCAGCCCGCCACCCCTGGACGCCAAGGGCACCTGCTGGGCCAAGGTGGGCCTAGAGAGGAGCGAGCCTCGGGCACGAAGTTGTTTTGGATGGGGGTCGCCCGGACTCTCAGCGGTCAGGACAAATATTGTTTTAATGAAATCATTCAAACATTTCCTGACTGCTAAGCCAACGCTGTTCTTTAAAGTACTAGAGGAGAATCATCGCCTACTTATAAAAAACAAGACCAACAACAAATCCTAGCAGACCGATGGAACCCACCTTTTTTTTTTTTTTAACAACAGAACCCGATATTCATGATTTTGCATCTTTGGAATAGATGGGCCTGAGTCATGGATGTGAGTTGGCTGACAAGAGGAAGGTTCCCAGTGAAACCCTTTTAGGTTTTATAAATCCAGCCACCAGAATACTTGAAAATTCTCTTTGGGGTGACGCCTGCAGATTGCATCCAAGTCGTCAACTCTTTCCTCTGTCCTAAACCAGCGCCCCACTGTGTGCTGCAAACACCCGGAGAAGGGAACGCATCTTCCACCTGCAGAGAGACCACGGAGCTGTTTTAGCAGGGTGTCCCAAATGTGCTCCTCTCCGAAGCACCCAAGGGACCAAGTTACGGAGATGGCTGCACAGAAGGAAATGAAGGTGGAATCGATGAAGCCTTCATTTTGGTTTTTGCAACGTGGGGGGCTGTGGCTGTGGCTCAGTGGCAGAGCACTTGCCTAGCACACGGGAGGCCCTGGGTTCATCCTCGGCATCACCTGAGAGTAAATAAATAAAGGTCTCATGTCATCCACAGCAACAAGAGCATCAGCAAAAATACAACCTGGTCAGAGCAGTCTTCACAGATGATCCTGAGACAGAAATAGATAAGTTAAGTAAACAAATAAGAAAAACAAAACCTCCGCTATTTGCATAGTCCAGATAGTAAAGAAAATATTAAGTGGAAGCAAACCTGAGGCTTCCCCTTAAAGGAATTGAACGTTTTTTAAATGGTGGTACAGGGAAAAAAAAGCCGACAGAGGGTGCGTGAAGGTTACGGAAACTGTGATTAAAATGAGGATTACGTGCTTGGAGCCCTTCTCCGCTCTGCCCTGGAGTGTGAAATTAGCGAGTGAAGGCGGATTTCACAGCCCTGTGCCGGAGCGTGCTGGTGTGGCAGTGGATTTGCGTTGGGGACTCTCTGCCAAGTCCTGCCCACTTGCAAGCTGCTGTCGCTACTCATGACGGCGTGGATAATCCTAGCGTCTGGAGCGCTTTGCATTTATATAGAACCATCTCCGTCCTTCCACGTGGGAGTCTAGTGCTGCGTGCTTGGGGGGGATCCAGCAGACCAGCCTTCGCACCAAAGGCACATTTTCCCTTAAAAAAAAAAAGTCCATTCATATGGATTACATTCAGTGGGAATGTTCGGTTGAGGACAGGGATACGGTTTGCATGCTGAACTTTAAAATAGCTCCAAGGGCAGCAGGGACCTCTGAGTCTGGGTTTCAGAGACGAAACAATCGGAGATGATGTTCACGTTTGTGGTCTGGAGGGCTGGTTGGGAGAAAGCCTTGTGGGGAGGAGCTGTCTGTCACCTGTCTTGGGCTCAGCTGGTCACATCACCTCTGGACACCACACAGAAGAGTCACTATTGCTTCCAGACATTTGTCCTGCCATAGTTAGGCCAACAGAATGGATCCTTCTGGTGACTCTGCAAAGAGGCCCCAGGAAACAGAACCCCCAACAGCCAGAGAAAAGGAGAATCTCAACTTCGCATCTTTGACAGCACCTTTGACTCTTCCATTGGGTCACTTTGGGAAACACGTTAGTTTTCAAAACACCACCCAGTAACCATCACCTTCCCCTCGGCTGGAGAATCCTCCCTTTTGTGGTCCTTTTGGTGATGGTGAGGTATTTGGTACCTCCCCAACATGATCGTGAACTTTGCGCTTATTGAAAATGGGAGATAAAATAAAAATCAGCTCATAGCCCCGCAGAGCACAGAGTGAAGGGTCTTGGGATGCTGAGAGGCACAGATAACAAATTCATGCTGAAATTGGCTTCAACACTTAGAAAACACATGGCTCCTGTCAATCTAGAGGTGATCTGGCCATCCTGAGACACCTTCAAGGTCACAACCTCCACCTCTGCCTGCTCTTCTGTGTGACCGTCAATTCCAGGCTGACATTCCTCCTGGGGGTGGCGGAGGTCGTTCCTGTGCAGCAGGGGAAACCAGGTCACATGTAGGAACTTTCTCAGAAGAGCAAGCAAGGAACGTCCCGGGGACCGTGGGCAAACCCCTTCTTGAACCTACTTGGATTCAACGGCTTCACCTATGTGCCCTTGACCGACCGTCAAGGACACACAGGGAAACAGAAGGATCCTGAAAAGCCTAGGGCCATTTTTAAAATTTATTGTGTGTCGACGGAGTCCTAAATTCTGGACCGTGACTCTGCAAAGAGTCAACAGTATCCATGGCACCTGTGCAGACTCCAAAGGTATCTGGGTCACCAGATGTGGGGGGCGTCCGTGTGGTTCCTCAAAAGATGGACAGGACCAAAACCTCACACTGGTTCTCAGGGACATGCTCGGCAGCAGAGGACCAAGGCTGGGTTTTCTCTCCTCGTTCCTTTCAGTTGCTCAGGGATCTTCTCTGCACACAGCTTCCCCTGTGGCCTGGAAGCTGCCACCTCCCCTGGCCCTGTCTTGCCGGGAGCTCCGGAACCGGCCACTTTCTGATTGCCAAAGTTTTGGCCCCCGGCTGGACCACCCACTTAGCAATAACTCATTAACAGTACCTGAAGGAACTGATTGGCCCCTGCTGAGTGCCAACTCCAACACGGCAGCAGTCGCCGTGACAGCTCTGGTGCCTGGCCCAGCGTGGTTAATGAAAGTGTCTGGAATAGACGGAGTTATCCGTCCTGGTCACCGCTGGGCCTCCAGCCTGGTACAGAGCCTGGCACCCAGTGTGTGCTCAGAAAGTCCTTGTTCAGTGAGTGAATGCAATTCTGGAGACCCACAAAACAAGGGGATCAGGCAACGGGCCAAATAAGTCCAAAGTTCTGGAATTCTAATGATTGACAGTGCTAATAGCTGCTCAGGTCGGTTGAAGAGCCAGAAGAGACTTCCTGCATCAAATGATGTCTACTCCCTCTATTCAGAGAGGTGTCCAAGTGCGCGCCCAGATGTGGAGCATTGTCTGAAGGGCTCCACCCCGCACAGCTGTCCTTCCCCTCTGTGGGCAGCTCTCCTGGGAGAAGACCCCTCCCCATGATCACGGTTTGTAACTTACTGTGTCAACAGGACCACCAGGCGCAGGCTGCAGTTACAGCACTGCGACTCCCAGGCGGCTAAGCAGACCTGCACTCTTTTCCCTTGTGGTGATCTGGGGTGACAGTCCAAGCCTGGCACGGGGCACTGCTCCAGCAAGCTCTCAGGCACCCTGTTCCTCTGTCACGTGGGCTTCTAGTCCAGGAACAGTACCCAGCAAGGTGGCTTGTCCACTCCAGCCCTAGACATCTTGCCCCAAACCAGCAGGAGGAAGTGAGGCCCAAGGGGTCAGAGCATGAGTTTCC